AAATCAACGTACCACGAACCTGTTTCCGGTGTGCTTCTCTGTAAAACAGTGTTACAAACGTTTTCGAACTTGTAAGTTCTTCTTCAGGTAACATCTAAGCGAATGCCTTTCAAATTTAAATTCAACCAAAAAAGAACTTCATTAAGAACTGTATCGCACGTATCGATGGCGTCATTGACGCATGCGCCCCTTTGCAGGTTGTAAATTATCGTAAGTTCTTGTCTACAAGCACCTGCCATGCCATTGACAGGGTGATTTCGTCTTTGCTGTTAATACAATTGTCGTCTTTTAGTGTAGCCATACATGGTTCGTGGTACGTTGATTTTATATTTACTTTAACCCGGTGTAGTATATTGCCGATTGGCTTAGTAAATCATTTAATGTTTCTTATTATTATTAATGCCAACAAAAAAAAAATAAATTTTATCTTAGATATTAAAAATTTTAAATATTTTGAATTAAATTCTAAGTGATAAAAATATATATTACAATAACTATAAGAAAATAGAAAATTAAATCAGGATTTGTAATTTAAAACAAAACCTAGGATAATTAATAATTAACAACATATTGTGTTATTTAATTTCAAGGAATACTATGACTATTCCTTCTATAAAAATATTCTTAAAATTTAATTTTAATTTTAAAATAAGTTAGAAAAGCAATATGAATATTATATAATAAGTAATGTTTGTCACTTCCATGTTATTCTGCATATAATAACTTTACATTTTTTTTTGCTGCATCACACATTGTCTCAAAAGGTACTAAAACACATCTATATTTTTCAGCACTACTCCTTTATTAGAAAAAATGTTTTTGGCTACTTTTAGGGGATTGCATCAAGTTGTAATAAATATAAATTAAACATTTAAACCAAATAAATTGGTTTATTTGGTACTAATGCTGGAAAGTGTAGACAGTGTCTTTTATTATTGACTGGTTCCAGGTTTTAGGAGAGTTTTGTATTAAAAGGGACTTTAAACATGAAAAATATTTAAACTGATGTGGCATTTATTATGTAACCAAAATACCTATTATTGGGGCATAATACACCATAATGATCTTATAATAATTAACAATTGATATTTGGACTGCAGATGTAAGACACCATCAATTGCAAAACAAAGTTCTATTATTGAAAAAATGAAAGTAAAAATGGATGAGCGCATCTTAGAATCAAGGAGATTGATTCAAAGATGAAATCTTTGATGGTATCAGCTCTCTTCTAAAACATTTAAGTTATTTATTTTTTTTATTTTCCTGCTGCTAAAAATACTTTATAAAAAATTAAATTGATCATTAATTCCTTTAATAGAAAAACATTATTCAAACATAAACCTGACAATATCAGTTTAATAAAAATAATTATTAAAAAACTAGAATGATTAAATTTAATATAATCATCAATATTTAATAATTATAATAATAAAACAAGTTGAAAAGGCTCTTGCACAACTTTCCTGCTTCCTAAACAGAAAGTCTAATAATTTTCAATTGTAACACAATTTAAAATTTAAATAACAATAAAAGCTTAAAAAAGGTAATTTTGTTGAATTACAAAAAATTTCTCTATATTTCAAATAATATTTAAGTTTAAAAAAGACTTAAGAGTGGGGACAAAGTTAAAATTTTGTGGTGCTCTTATTTAATACTCACTATATTATTTGTAACATTTATTCTTATTTTAATACTATGTGTGGACTTTATTCTACAATTCAAATTTAATCACTGTCGGTTAATATAAAGTCTTTTTTAAAAACTCATATCCACAAAACGTTTCTCTATCTTTTAAATGATTGATAAATGGAACAGCTTGTAACTTGAAGAGGGCCACTAAAGGTAACCAAAAACATCCCTACTTCTAAATAAAGTTGCTGGAATAAGTACAAAAGGTGTCATTGTGTGCATATATATATTAAAGAGTTCCATATATATTCCATTTATATATTTAACCAAGTAAAGTTATATCTAAATCTAATATACTTCTGGAAGCAAAGACTTGCTCGGGATCCAGGTGGCATAACTGGCAAGCGCACCGCACGGTAAGCAAAGGTTGCGGGTTCAAGCCCCGTCCCAGGCTAGTTCTTTTATTCCAGAAGGTTCTAAAATTTATTTAATAATTTATTTATTTAATTTTAATAAAAAGTAAAACACATCTGGATACGAGTCCAATTTTGCTTGCCATGTCTAATCACCAGGAATAACTATTTCCATTGCAGAGACAACCTTTCTTTAGAGGCTATGCCTCTGCACAAACAAATATTATATTTTTAATTGTGTTGGGATTGTCACCTGTGGACATTTTAAACTGTTTTACATATTTGTGCAGAGGCATAGCCTCTAAAGAAAGTTTGTCTCTGCAATGGAAATAGTTGTTCCTGGTGATTAGACATGGCAAGCAAAATTGGACTTGTATCCAGATGTGTTTTACTTTTTATTAAATTGTAATTCTGCCAGCCCTTTTCTACAAACAAATATTAATTTTAATTATTAATTTACTTAAGAGATGGCACCTAACGCCTACCTCTAATGTCAAATTACTTTATTCCAATCATTTAATTAGCCATATTATAGCCCGATATTTAGGCAATCGTTTGGTAATTTATTAAAGAGTTTCAGTTTAATATGTAACTTTGATGAGAGAAATGTAATTATTAAAAATAAGCATAAAAAATTGATTTTTTTTCAGTCTTCTTCTCCATAGAAGACTAAAAAGAATCATATAATACTGCTGAATTTTAAGTGAGCTTTAATATGACTAATTAATTATAAAGATATTCCACAATTTGGACTAACAAGGTCCAAACTATGGAATAGCTACACCTATGTCCCTCTCCAATTTTGATGAATTTTGGTTTAAGTGTTTGATATGATAATACAGTCATCCAAACTGTTTCAATCTATGGGCCATAATAAGTGGGTTATGACTAATTGAAAGTGAAACTACTTCTCATGGTAGACTAGTAATACAATAATTTGGTCACATGGGTGTTGATTTGCCTGAGAAGAGAGAAGCAAAGAGAAAGTCAATGGCATGTTTGTTATCCATGCTGTAATATTGTATCCCTCATTAAAATACCAATATAATTTAGCAAGAGTATAGTTAAATATCAATCTTGGTTAAATTTTGAAGTATCACAAATAGTTTTCACATTAGCTACATTACATTAATAATTAATTATATCAATATTTTCAAAAACACTTACATCAATACTTTAATGCCACTTATAAACAGTTACATTAGTAATTTAATAAAACTTAAGAAATGAAGTCTAACTGGTAAATCCAAGAAGTCATTTCATGCAGTGAGCTTATCTTATTTATTATCTCAATCAGGACAGTAACATCTAGTATATTCTCAATAGTAATTAGTTTTGGCAATTACATTAATATTAATATCCTTTACTCACAAAAGGGAGAAACAATGCAGAAATAATAATGACTTTCAATCCATAAACAGTGCACACATAAGCACTTGTGACAGTGAACAGATTTTATAAATCCACTTTGATCACAATCTACAGCATCACAAAACTAATCTCTATATGAAGCAAACTTCTTTGACAATAACAAATTTTTCTCTATGAGTCAGAACCCAGAACACCACAAGTAATGAATCATAGATTTGAAAACATCAGCAGATAATTGAAAGTGCAAGAGAGATTACAGCTTAAAAAATGGTTAGTTTACCATGTCAAAATACTATCCAATTAAAGAAAGAGATAACTACTGTCTATCAACATTAAACAGTTATTATAACATCATTGCAAGCACTTTCAACATTTTATCAATGTCATCTTCATGCAAAGAAAAGAACATTAACTTTGATACATTCAGATAAATTTAAAAAAATGAAACATTAAATATTTGAAAATGGAATACACATTTTCATCGTTATATTTAAACCTACTTAGGGATGAGAATGGCACACGCATAGAGATATATTAGTACAAAATAACAAGATAAGCATTTACATGCTGTTAGTAAATTTAGAATTACAGCCAGTAGGCAATACCACGGTGACATAAATGTTAAAAGTCCAAACTTTTAAAATGCGTACCCAAATTCTTAAGAGATCTGATGTAGATTTATTGATGTTCCAATCTTTCAATAAATAATGCCACCCAGATAAAAGTAACTTTTTTGTCAACACATCAGAAGCGAAATCTCATTCCATATCAAGAGCAAATTTTTTTCCATCACAATCCTAGAAAGTTCTACAGTGCACTTGCTATTATAGATATTGTTCTGGCGTTCGGTAAGACGGATTTGTAATTTTCTTGTTTTGAGCCCGACGTAAAAAACTTGTTTGCATCGCTATCCGGCCGTTCTAATAGAAACAAATAAACTCCCTATTTTTCTAGCGTGGATAATACATCTCTGGAGTCTGCATAAGGTTTAACATCCCCTTATCGCTTTCGTATATTAAATACCGTAGATTTACATCAAATTTTATAAAGTAAAATCAACCACAATAACGATCAATGTAAGTCAAGAAAAAATAATAGTGCCATAAAACAAATATGAATTTTTAAAACAGGAAATATTCCACGTACAAGTCGACCCCCCTATAACACTGTTGATTATTCTGTTTTATACGAATTCCATGTTGAACGAGTCACTTAGATTTTACAAATACGTGTGCTGGGCTGTGAAAGGCTCACGTATTTATAAAATCTAAGTGACTCGTACAACATGGAATTCATATAAAACAAAATTATCAACAGTGTTATGTATATATTTTTCCTTCCGAAAAAGTCCACGTTAGTCTGCATTGTATAGGTTAGCAATAAATGGAAGCATGCACAAAAAATAAAATTGTCAAACTTCGAAACTTCATTTATACATTTAAAATATAGGTAATAAAAAAATTTAAAAATTAAATAATGTATAGGTGATATTACAGAAAAAAGAAATACAAAATATCGACAGAAAATCGTCATTTTCATTACGTAAAAACCACGTTAGTACATAAATAAGTTTACAGACATACTTACACTACAATTCCATAAGCACCTTCTCCGATATATGATAAATTAGTATATCTAGGTCCTACTTCGAAAGCTTGTCCTCTTACGGTCTCTACAAATCGACTCTCGGAACTCGATCCCGCCATTTTGTTTAGGAAATCAAACGGAGACAAAAAGTAAAATACAAAATAACGTACGTATTGAACAAAAAAATACAGCCCAAAATCCTACTCTTAATTTCAAATTTTACAATATAATTTGCATTTTTTTTAATTATTATAATTACTGTTTATATATAAAAATTATTAATATATTGAAATATTTTTTTATTTGTTGATAAAAATAAAATTAAACGTTTCCTCAAGTACAGGGATGTACTATTGGTGGCCGAGTGGATTTTTTAACTCTTTTCGTCCTGCCCGCACTAAGGCCCGTTTTAGCAAACCCGTTACGGATTCGACCAGGCCAATAATGAGGTGGCCGGAAAGTGAGGGACGGGGCCCGACATATTCGGACGGACCACCTTCCCGAAAAATTTCTAGGATTTTTGGACTCGTGTAGATTCCAGGTTTCCCAGAGCGGTAGGCGTCTACCCTAACCGGTCGGCAATAAGGCCAGTCGATATATATGCGCTACGCTCGCCACTAGAATTAATTTCTCAGGTTGCCGATAGCTGGCGTGAGAATAGTGCTGTGCGATGCATCGATGTGACATCGACACATCGATGTTTTTGTTCGTCGATGCATCGACCTTCCGATGTTTTTGAAACATCGATCCTGNTATTTATATATTATTTTAAAAAATTAATTTAGTCAAATCAATTCTTTAATTTAAACTTGCTGTAAAAAAATTTTTATTTTGTTTGAAAACAAAAAATTTTACACTTCAATCATTTCATTTCAAAATGTAACAAAAATTAAATAACAAACATATAGACTGGTATTTTAATTAAATTCAGATTCAGACAATAATTGTTTATTAAGAATTGACAAAAAGATTTCATATCATTGAATGATACAATAATATTTAATATTCCATACTTTGATTCTCATCTTCATCACTCTTTGTTCCATAAATCTCTTGATTTCGTCTTTTAAATTTTTTTGAACAACTGACTGTAGTCATATCATCATCATTATCACTTTTGTTTTTTTTGGAATTTTGATCTACTTTAATTTCAGGAAAATTCATTAATTTTGTAACTTTTTCTGGTGTTTCACAATACTGTAAATGAAGTTGTTTTCTTTCTTGTAATGATGGGCATTTATTCTTAGGAGAATCTAGCATATCATTGGATCCTATTTTATCAATAAAGAAACTATTATTAAAATCTTCAACATCAGAATTTAATTTAGACACATCTTCAGTTTGAGTGATTGGCTGAAAATCTTCCATAATATTTTCATCTGATTCTGATGAATTTTTGCTTGGTGCATCAGTATCACTATCTAAATTTATCTCATCAGGATTGATAGAGGACTGAGAATTAATTGTAATATTCATTTCACTATCATTGATAAATTCTCTGATGGTTAAAGTATCAAGTGATTTTCCTGAAGATAAAAGAGTTAAAGGATCTCTCACATTTAATTTTTGACAAAACTGCACAGTTTGAGGATTAATATGAACTTCTGGAGTTTCAATTTTATCTGAAAAGGAATGAATTGGTGCAGTAATCTGAAAATTTTTTGGTATTACAAAATTTAAATTCATTAATTTTTTTATTTCCTTTTTCTCAAGTTCTCTAATTTTGAAATCCCATCTTTCTGAACCTCCAGGTCCTGGCATGTATGAAACTCTGTTGTCAACATTTAACAAATGATCAGTTAATTGTAGAATGCATAACCACTCTGGATCATATTTTAATTCGACAGGTAAATCACATTTTTCTCCAATATCAAGAATTTGAAGAAAGTTTCTTTTTGGTAAGCATTTATCAAGAGCTAGAAATTTAGTGACACATGAACCTTCATCTGAATTATGTTGTACAACAGCAGCAAATTTACAATGCAAATGAGCTGCAAACCAATATTTTGGTTTTAACTTATGCAATAATTCTTCTGCAGGCCTGCTACCAAGTGTATTCTTCTCTATTTCATCTCTAAAAAAACTTTTTTGCTTCAATAGTGCATTCTTATTTCCATAATGATATATTCCTCTTGGCCAATCGTGTGAAATAAAGATATCAATAGGTTCCGAAATTTGTTTTAATCGGAAAACATCAATATTCCTAATATGGTAAATACTCCTTTTTGTAGATTCGTCATACGGTGGATATTCAAATCGACCTTTCAAATAATCGTGACCTTTATAAATGCCCGAAAGACCACCTATTCTCAGATTTCCAATATTTATTACATTGGCATAACCGAGATAGTAAATATTTGGGCAAACCCATCCACCAAAAGGTAATTCTGATAAATAATTAGAAGCTTCGTGATTTCCGCCTATAAATATCGTAAGTATTGGAGCTGTCTTTTCACCAGAATAATACTTATAAAATGTATTCATTTTTTTATAAGCATTTGGTACTGCCATGCACTTTAAATCAGTTTGATTACGTACAGCTTGGAAATCACCACAAATTATCAACAAGTCAACCTTTATATTATTCTGTTCTTCAAGAAAAGCAATAGTTTCATATATTTTGTCCAATTCCCCATGTGCACAACCTTCTACAGCTATCTTCATGATGATTATTTAAAGATATGATGATGCAGATGTTATTCAAGTTGCAGTTCACAGGGATATATTCGTATCAGAATTAGTCAATACTGTAAAAACAGGAAATTTTTAACATAAACATTTTATAAAAGGCTGTTCTGTTGCAGAATTTTCATCATTTTTAATATAATTTAGTACCAATAATATTGAAAACTGTCATTTTACATAAATTTTTAAATGCAAAATTGAATTAAGACAAATAATAAATACCATTATATACATTTCTACTACTTTTTATCAGTAAACAATAGCAGCATATGTTGCTAATTACACGAAAAATAAAGCATTGATATAAAAAATTAATTAGTTATAACTGAAATATAAAAAAGCTTTTCAAAAAATATAAATTTAAATTAAATGCATTGTTATGATAAAATCCTGTAAAAAAATTAATTTAGTAGAAACTAATCATGCTTAATAAAACAGATATTATCATCATTATTTACATATTATTTTATAATTCCATTGAAGAACAATTTCATGAATTTTACAGCATAAATAGAATGATTCTCAAGAAATTATAAGAAAATAAATACTCCTCATAATTAAACTGAAACTAGAACAAGTATATTTTTGCATGGAAAAATTTATATTGGAACTTACACAGTAATAAATTTAAAAACTATTACTAAACAGAAACGACACAAGAAAATGTAGCAAGAGATGGTGTCAATTTAAATTCGTAAATATTTAAAAAGTATATCAAAATAAAAATTTAGAAACAGTGCAAAATTATTCATTTCCATATTTTCCACTTCATGTATTCATTTACCATAAATTTTAAAAAATACAATTTTTTTTGGCATTACCAAACTCTATTTTTTTATACAGCAACAAATATTATAAGTTGTTTTAAAACAGATTTTTTAAAATAAGTTTAAAGGCGATGATGATAATTTTTTTATTATGAAGTATACTATGATCAGTCTCTACTAAATGAATTACAGTAAAACTTCTCCAACTCAAACATTTTTTTTAACTTGAAGAAAACAAAGCACTTGATAGGTCCCAATAGAATAGCATAGGGATTTAACATCTTCAATTAAAATTTCTTAATTCAAATTTTCTCCAACTCAAAGTTTTTCACAGTCTCCTGACACTGATTTATGCTACTTTCGACTTCCCCGACTCAAATTTTAGTATTTATTCTATCCAAAGTGATCCTAATTATCAAGTTTCCATAAAATTTTCACAGTTGTATCTACTCTCTAACACCAATTTTCAGACAAAGTTCCAGTCCAAAGCAAGAGGACCTCTCACTTTGGACTGGAATGTACATGCAACAAGATGTACCTGCAAAACTGTTTGATTCCATTAGTTACATTGAACATTTTGCTGAAAGGTATTACATGGACTGTTTAAAAAAACAAAAAAACACTATCAAAGATTCTTTATATAATGCAAGAGAGGTAAAAGTACAAATCCATTCAAAATTGGCATTTTTTACTTTATCGTTTTCTAGCTCATAATTAAGATTTTTCCTGCCAGTTGGAACTTTAAGTTAGAGAAGTTTTACTGTATATTCAATTTAACCATTTTATCATGAAATTAATAATAATAATAATCTCATGTACTGGTACATGGATTTATGCATCCACACAAAAAACAACTTTATCAACTCCTACAAATCACACATCCATATTCCAAGGACATAAGAATGGAGTTTGGCCTAGACAAATACAAAACACTTCACATACAGAAAGGAGTCCTGAAGCACTTGGAAATGGAAATGTTATTGAATCCATGGAAAAGGACAAGTTCTACAAGTATTTAGGATTCCAACAGGCCAAACAGAACATACACAAATAAAAGCAAAGTTCAATTAAAGAATACCAAAGTAGGTTAAACACTATCCTCAGAACACAGTTAAACACAAAATACACAGTTAAGGCAATAAACACATATGTCATTCCAGTACACACTTATTCTTTTGGAGTTATACATTGGATCTCACAGATCACGAGCAACTCAAAAGAAAAACAAGAACAACACTTACTAAGCGTAATCATCATCATCCTAAATCCACCATAGAAAGATTAACCATACCACATAAAGATGGCAAACATGGCCTGATTGACATATTAAACCTTCACTACAAACAAATACAGTCACTGCGAGAGTTTTTCTACAGGAAACAAGAAACATCACAGTTACATAAAGCAGTAACTCTAGCAGACTCAAATAACACACCATTAAACTTACACTCACATCATATGAACACGCACAACATATAAAAAGTATAGACACCATTAAAAGCCATTGTAAGCTTGAAAAACACTCCATGGCATCCCTACAACCTGGCCCAGGATTTTTATAACAAAACTATATCAAACAGCTGGTTAGCTTGGGGATGCCTGTTTGGTGAGACGGAAGGGTTCATGATTGCCATACAGGATCAGGTCATAAATACTAAAAACTACAGAAAACACATATGCAAAGATACAACACTCACAAATGACACATGCAGAAAATGTCACACAATGCTGGAAACTATAAAACACATCACTTCTGGTTGCAAGTTCTTGGCACAGACGGGTTATATACATAGACATAATCAAGTAGCAAATATAATACTCCAAGAATTTGCAAACAAAAAACATATTATTCGACATCCACAATCCATACTACAAATACATTCCACAGACAGTATTGGAAAACAATATGCACAAAATGTACTACGACAGAGCCATAATCACAGATAAAACAATTTACCACAACAGACCAGATATCACAACCATTTACAAACAATAAAATCACATACATTATGGACATAACCATTCCAAATACTCACAATGTACAAAACACATGCACTGAAAAAAAATCAGCAAGTTACACAGAATTTGCCCAAAAAATAAAACATCTGTGGAAGATGGATAGGGTGCTTATTGTACTGTACCTGTTGTTTTCTCCTATACAGGTGTCATACCACACACACACACACACACACACACTACACAAAAGCCTGGGAACATTACAGTTGAATAGAAACACATACATCACCCTAAAGAAGGCCACTATATTGATTACATGTCTTATTATCAGGAAATTCCTGAATACAAACATACACACTAACACATTTATTTAATTTTTGTGTTGTTTTGGTTGCTATACCTCGACTCCAGTATGGCATAGTACACAGCAACCAGTGTTAACCGAGTATAACTCATTAAAACCAACATAATAATAGTATTTATTCCTTTTTGATTTAATACTAAAATCATTTAATGTTCGAGACTGCATACTATTAATACCAAAAGACTTACTATGACATCTTATCTAAGATAAGGTGTCTTAGTAAATCAAATATAAAATCAACGTACCACGAACCTGTTTCCGGTGTGCTTCTCTGTAAAACAGTGTTACAAACGTTTTCGAACTTGTAAGTTCTTCTTCAGGTAACATCTAAGCGAATGCCTTTCAAATTTAAATTCAACCAAAAAAGAACTTCATTAAGAACTGTATCGCACGTATCGATGGCGTCATTGACGCATGCGCCCCTTTGCAGGTTGTAAATTATCGTAAGTTCTTGTCTACAAGCACCTGCCATGCCATTGACAGGGTGATTTCGTCTTTGCTGTTAATACAATTGTCGTCTTTTAGTGTAGCCATACATGGTTCGTGGTACGTTGATTTTATATTTACTTTAACCCGGTGTAGTATATTGCCGATTGGCTTAGTAAATCATTTAATGTTTCTTATTATTATTAATGCCAACAAAAAAAAAATAAATTTTATCTTAGATATTAAAAATTTTAAATATTTTGAATTAAATTCTAAGTGATAAAAATATATATTACAATAACTATAAGAAAATAGAAAATTAAATCAGGATTTGTAATTTAAAACAAAACCTAGGATAATTAATAATTAACAACATATTGTGTTATTTAATTTCAAGGAATACTATGACTATTCCTTCTATAAAAATATTCTTAAAATTTAATTTTAATTTTAAAATAAGTTAGAAAAGCAATATGAATATTATATAATAAGTAATGTTTGTCACTTCCATGTTATTCTGCATATAATAACTTTACATTTTTTTTTGCTGCATCACACATTGTCTCAAAAGGTACTAAAACACATCTATATTTTTCAGCACTACTCCTTTATTAGAAAAAATGTTTTTGGCTACTTTTAGGGGATTGCATCAAGTTGTAATAAATATAAATTAAACATTTAAACCAAATAAATTGGTTTATTTGGTACTAATGCTGGAAAGTGTAGACAGTGTCTTTTATTATTGACTGGTTCCAGGTTTTAGGAGAGTTTTGTATTAAAAGGGACTTTAAACATGAAAAATATTTAAACTGATGTGGCATTTATTATGTAACCAAAATACCTATTATTGGGGCATAATACACCATAATGATCTTATAATAATTAACAATTGATATTTGGACTGCAGATGTAAGACACCATCAATTGCAAAACAAAGTTCTATTATTGAAAAAATGAAAGTAAAAATGGATGAGCGCATCTTAGAATCAAGGAGATTGATTCAAAGATGAAATCTTTGATGGTATCAGCTCTCTTCTAAAACATTTAAGTTATTTATTTTTTTTATTTTCCTGCTGCTAAAAATACTTTATAAAAAATTAAATTGATCATTAATTCCTTTAATAGAAAAACATTATTCAAACATAAACCTGACAATATCAGTTTAATAAAAATAATTATTAAAAAACTAGAATGATTAAATTTAATATAATCATCAATATTTAATAATTATAATAATAAAACAAGTTGAAAAGGCTCTTGCACAACTTTCCTGCTTCCTAAACAGAAAGTCTAATAATTTTCAATTGTAACACAATTTAAAATTTAAATAACAATAAAAGCTTAAAAAAGGTAATTTTGTTGAATTACAAAAAATTTCTCTATATTTCAAATAATATTTAAGTTTAAAAAAGACTTAAGAGTGGGGACAAAGTTAAAATTTTGTGGTGCTCTTATTTAATACTCACTATATTATTTGTAACATTTATTCTTATTTTAATACTATGTGTGGACTTTATTCTACAATTCAAATTTAATCACTGTCGGTTAATATAAAGTCTTTTTTAAAAACTCATATCCACAAAACGTTTCTCTATCTTTTAAATGATTGATAAATGGAACAGCTTGTAACTTGAAGAGGGCCACTAAAGGTAACCAAAAACATCC